CAAAAGGGATGCCAAATCCCACACCCTGTTTTCAGTTACAGAACATCAATGAAATAAAGGAAAAAATAGATGCTTTTCATTTTCTCTTCTGAACTCTTATTACTAAATGACTTTGCTTTTCTCCTTTCTTACCATTACAGTTAAACACAAGGATTTGATGCGTAAAAACTGAAAAACATCAATGCTTTCAAAGACAAAATGAATGACTACTGAGGAATTAATAGCATTTAAGTCAATATGATTTTGCTAAAGGGGGCTGTGTGTTGAGAATAATACAAGAGCAATGTTAAGACGGGCACAGGAGCCATAAAGCACATGTATGAAGCAAATATGCATAATAATTTAGGCTGCCCCTTTAAGTCATTTGTCCTCCAGCTCCATATGTTCTTACACCTGAGCTCCCTTCCTTGATCTAGTCTAATACCTTGGAAATGTTAGGCATGCAGCCAATTTCATACTCAGCCATTCCTATGACCAGACCCAGCTAACAACTTGCTTTTTTCTTATATTAAATCAGGAATCAACCCCAGGGCTCTGAACTACTTCTGACTGACAGGACCAACAGAAAGTTCTAGGCTAATTACTTCTTAGGACTACTTTCCAGCACAAAGAGTTGCTGCTGACCTACTTTGGACTTACTGAAATAATTTATCAGGTAAGATAATTAAGGGAATATAAAACTGTTTCTAAAACCAAGCAAGTATCAGAAATATTTGTTGAAATCATAAGTCAGTATTCCCAGTGCTATCAGATGGGGCTTTATTGCTTTACAATGAGTCAATTTTATTATGCCTGACTTAGAAGCCCTTCTTTTTTTATAAATTATACTTGGCAGAATGTATTTGAGAATCTCTTTGATGTATAAATGTATTATTTTTGACTCTTTTTCAGCCTATATATAAAGTGAAACAATCTTCTAAGCCCTCCTTTTCTTTGCCTCTTAACCCTTTCCCCATAAATAGGTATGCGCATCCCTTCGCACAGGTGTTCCATTATTTTTGAAGTCTGTTCTGAGTAAAGGGATGCCTCAGTGTGAGAGTAGATTTATCTGTGGTGTGGATCACTTACCATGTGGACTTTTAACTCTCTTTTGAAAGCATAATTGGTTCTTACATATAGGTAAATATCTATAACTGAAGAGTCTTTTGTAGCAATGTTCTTTCTTTTCTGCTGAGAAAATCTGCCCATTTTCTATAGCCTTGATGTTTTCCATAAGAAAAAGAAAACAAGAGGAAAACCTTGAAAGGACACCATAGAACGTAAGGGAGAGGTTGTTTAAGCTTAGAAATCATCTGTTTTTTCCCAAAATAAAGGCATTAACGTGTTATATTATTAGTATCATGGTTTATCAATGTCATTCTTTGTTATTTTTTCTCCTATTCCTCTACTCTCCTTACCCTTCCCCCATTTACTTTTTAAAATTTTCTTTCCCATGTCCAATGTAACTTGCTTCTTAACTAAAAAACTCATCTAACTATGAAAACAAGATCAGTTGATTGCATACTGGCTTTTTAATTCTAACAAAGGTTTACCTTCATCTAGAAAATATCTGAATATCACTGAATAGCTAGATTTAGTCCTTGTAGTAAAATGTAAATATTAATTTCTTAATCTAGGGTTAAAAAAATCAGGAATTAATATTTCACATTTGTTTCAGTACTGCAGTTACAATAATATTATTTCTCAGTAGAATTTATTCACTTATTCATTTATCTTGCTATTACTTTGTAATGTAGAGTTGAGGAAACTTTATGCATAAAACTAGTTTAGTTAATGCCAAAGGAAAAAATAAAGCTAAACACTGACTTGTAGTCTTTGTTTCCACACAGCTTATCCAGTGTTTTATATTTGTGAGAGAACCTGACCATTGTTTCATCCAAAATCAATAGCACATCAAGCTCCCCTGATCCAGTTGACTAGTACTAGTCAGATCACTCCCCTATTGCTTCCTATCTTACTTTATAGCCTCTTGCATTCCATGCCTATTTAATTTCATTTATTGCTTTATTCTTGTGTCCTTCAGCTGTTTTCAATCTGCCCTTCATGGCCATAGCTAAATACAATATGATAACATACAAAGGTATTTATGTAAATGAAAATCAATACACTTCTCATTTCAGCACCATTCGTTCTTGCTTACATTGGACATTTTTAGTACATTTTATTTAAACGCGAACAACTTTTCATTCTTGCCGGGGAAGTATAATGATCTTCTTGGCTCCCTGCCTCCTGCATCCCTCTAATCTTCACAGCTATGGCCACTTAGCCCCATCTGGAGGTTCAGCTTTATTCTGCATTTTGGAACTAATCTTGTCTCTAGGCTGGGGGCGTACAAGATGTCCTAGCCAAAAACTAACTGATTCATCCACCAGCAGCCTTGCTGCTGGCTTCATTCTGACCCTGTAACGTATTTCTGAGATCCAAGGGCTTGTCTCAGCCCTTTGTAGCCAAGACTTGGCTCTGTACACTACTTCCAGTAGGTGGGTATCCAGTATCTGTCCTTGGTTCATTTTCCAATTCATTGATGACTAAGGTTCTGCTTTGCCCTTCTTCCTGTTCCCTTTGTAACTGAATTTGTTGTCCTAATTCCAGTAGCCATGGCTGTTGTATATTTCTGATGCTGCATAACTTGCTCTAATCTCCTTGTTCTGTCTACCCACATACCACAGATCTGAACTTTCGCTAGAACACCAGAGTGACACTGCTTGCCTGGACATTTTCCCACTGCCTGCTGCAGGCTTCTCTCTTGTCCCCAGCTCTAACCCTGCAGGTCTTGAGTCACTGGATCTAAGCTGCCTGCAATCTGTCCATCACATTATTCCAGACATGACAGGGGAGAAATATTTTAATTGCATCTTTGGTTGAATTGTTATGCTAACATCCTCGAGTTACTTTTACCTCATATCTTTATCTTGACCTGCCACTTAAACACTTTAAAACTCAATTTCCTCTTTGTAAAGTGATCATAATAGAATCTACTCCTAGGGTTATTATATAACTGAGGAAAAAAAAATGCATACATATAGGTCAAGCCCATAGTAAATAATCAGTCATTTTCATCTGCTATTATTGTATCATTTCTTAGATCTTTGCAGTTGTAAAGTGAAAACATGTCACTTAAAAGTGATCATTAGACAAGAATGGGGAATGGGAAATTCTTAAGAAAAAATTAGGGATCCGTGTGAATTTGTTAAAAGTAAAATAGCTGATAGCAAGATATTTAATATCATTAAAAATAAAGTTAAACTATAGATGTAGTCATCAACAAACATTAAAAACCAAGATCTTTTAAAGATACATTTCCTATCAATGTGTCTTAATATATAATGACTAAAACTGCACAGAGCTTTAAAGTACTTCAGCCAGTTCAGTCCAGTCATTCAGTCCTGTCTGACTCAAAGCATTTCAAAGGAGAATAATTCTCTGAGTCAGTCATTTATCTTAGAGCAATATTTATACAACCATCTGGGGAGTTTTAAAAAGTAAAGTTTTAAGTCCCACTTCTATGAAATTCTGATTGACTAATTTTGACATGGAACTAAAGATGTGTTCCAAAAATTCCCTAAGTAATCCTGATGATCAGCCAGGTTTGGGAACCAAAAATTCATCAGTCAATAAGATGTCCAGGAGATTCTTAAGAACACATATGTTTGTTTACCTCAGGATGGTCAAGTTAGTGCATAGACTCCCTGACTTGGCTCCTAGCTGACCACTGGCTAGAAATGTCTGACAGGCACGGGAATGCTACTGAAGCCAGCTTTTATTAATGGGTAACTGTTTCACCTCGCTGGGTAACTAACAGCAGTGCCTACTTGTAAGTACTTTGTTAATTTACCTTAAGAATCTCAGTTTGCTCAGTTGGAATCCTCAGTTTAATCTACATTAAAAATATTCTAAATTGTTTCAGGCACAGACTGTTTCATGTTTGTCAAATTTTTTAATTTTTCCTGTTTCTTAGCTAAATTCCCTCCATCCACAAAGTGTTTGATCAAAATGGCCATGCTTTTCCCCCAACTTTACTGAGGCATAATTGGTATATAACACTGTAAATGTTAAGGTGTGCAATGTGTATATTGCAACGTGATCACCACCACAGTGTTAGCCAACACTCCCATCCCCTCACATAATTACCAGTTATTTTTTATGTGTGGTGAACATTTAAGATTTACTCCCTTACCTACTTTGATCAAAATGATTGTTAACTGCTCTAGGCAAACACACACACACAAATGAAAGGGCTCCTGTTTGCTTTCCTGAAAGGTATGTGTATAAAAGTTGTATATTAAGAGAGAGAGACAGAGAGAAAAAAAGATTGCCTCTTTCTACTATTATGCCACACAAGGACCTTTGGGGTGTTCACTGTGGGTGTGAGAGCTGGGTAGGGCCAATACACGTGGCCCCTGGAGAAGGAAATGGCAACCTACTCCAACAGGACAGTGGATGCCCTAGAAGGCAGACCCATTTAAAATAATGAATATTCAAGATCTGTTCAGTGTATCTTTAAAGGAGAAGCTGAGTAACACCTGGGTGAAGGGAGTAGTTGATCCTAGACGGTGGCTCAGAAACCATGCCTTGCCCTAACAGCTCCCTAATTCAGCTATGGGTGTACATATATACACCTTTAAATAAAATCTCTGTGGTTACCCAAATCAACCATCTTGGAGCAGATTAGCAAACTATCCATTGTTTCTTGACCATGCCTCCTGAGAGATATTCTGGTAAATACACTTTTTCTCTCCATCTCTTACCATTGACAGTATTTGGGAGTCTCAGTGATATCTTACTGTACCTTATCAAGTAATTCCCTAGACAGTGGTTTGACTGACCCAACTCTTAGTTTAGCTACAGAAATTCCTTCCTGTTATTGTAGCCCTCATCTTTCTTAGTTGAAAACTGGATTAAAAAAAATGCTGAAAATGTCTTCTTTTAGGAAATAACTGATACAGTAAAAATAAATTATTTATCATTATTTTGTTTAAAAGAATAAAACAGCACATTACCAGACATCCTCAGCATCTTCATCACATTCTGCACCAAACTGGCAAATATCACAGGTGGATGTCTCCTTTTGACTGGTTTCTCCTGAGCCTTCATGGACTATAGGACAGAAAAAGTGGAACAAAAAGAATTCAGATAAGTGCACATAATATCAATTCCAAGACTATTTTATATGAAAGTTGCTACTTTTCCAATGGACTTTTTTGCAATTGGAGCTCCATTAAGATTGTCACATTCAACTCTCTTCTTCTCTAAGTTTGAAGAAAACAATGATATGCTAGTTACTGAAATGTAGTGAATAATTCTTTTTACCACAAAAATAAAACAAACAAGAGAGTTTACTGGATTTATCAAAATGGGTTGGTTAATAAACCATATGAAAGAATTAATTAAGAAGAATTTAAATTGGATGGTATCTCCGACTCAATGGACATGAGTTTGAGTAAGCCCTGGGAGATGGCGAAGGACAGGGAAGCCTGGAGTGCTGCAGTCCATGGGGTCACAAAGAGTCAGACATGACTGAGTGACTGACCAACAACAAAACTGTTACTGGCCTAGAGCAAAAATCTAGTGTCTATAAGAAAATTTTCTCAGCCCTAAGTTATAGACTTTTTTCATTCAAAGGCTTTAATATATAATTTATAAAATTTAGGAGGGCAGCTTTGACTTTTTAGATATGTCTTTTCCCCACCTCAAGATGTAAAAAGTACTTATAAGGAAAAATATATTAATTATAAATTTTAGAAAACACATTTTAATTGATTTTTACACTACTTTCTTGAACCTTACATAAATGTTGCACAGAGCCCATCATAGTGATTTCTTCTATAAGGGCTATGAACATATATTTTATTTAAAAATATATACTTGTCACTGATGATAGTTATTCATGTAGACTTAGACCATAAATTATAAGTGTAAAAATATGCTGCATACAATCTACTTATAAAATTAAGCTTTCAAAATCAGGAAACAATAGTGTACATCAATTTTAAAAATTTAGTATTTGAGTTCAAGAAATAAAAATCTGAGCAATACTTTTAGATGAAGATTACTATTTACCAATTAAAAAATATGTAGTTGACAGCAAAAATAACTTTGCTTGTAGATGAAAAACTGCAACAATCTAACAACTGCACAGATAATATTATTCCATGGACAGATTATATACTTAAAAACATGTTTAAATCCAGAGATCCTTAAAAAGTGCACTTTTGAAAAAGGTTATGCATTTTCAATAGAAAAAGAACATAAACAATTAAGTATGGCACTGGCTTCTAGCATTATGAACCCTAGTAAGGTACTATTTTTAACAAAGACATCATTTATTAAAGTGCACCCTGAACCTAACATATTCAACCTTACTTATTTAATATGATATTTTCATAACTTATTCTTTGTCTATTAACATGAGAGTTATTGATAGTTACAAAAGCAAAGCTCTTTATTCCTTATTTTCCAATTTACTGCTCTGCAAATAAGTGATATGATTTACCAGAATAACAACAACAAAACCAAACCATCATTTAGAGAGTTGTGTTTTACAGTTTTTCCGGGAAAGATAGATTTATTTTTTCCAAAGCAACATTCTCCCCCTATACTTGATTTGCACTGCACTTTAACAAAGTTATGAATTAAACAGACCAACTTCAACTGCAAAAGGATTGATGGTATAGTTTTAAAATTGAAGTCTAAAAAAATGGTGTTCCTCCCCAGAAAGAAAGAGGAATTCTAGACTCTGCTAAAATAGACAGCACTTATTATCCACTCTATTACATTAATAGAGGCGAGACCATTAGAGTGGACTATGGGGATGAGAAGGAAGCTGGGGCCTCACCTCAGGGGAGCCTGAACAGCTGAGGCCCATCTCTTTATTACTTTCTTATTATTAATGCAACACAGAAACTGCTAATGGGAAAGAGCCTTTTAGTGTTAGCAAGATTAGCAGCTTCTAGACTAAAACTTCGCATCACTCAGGAAACATACTAACACAATGGGAAGGTCCTTAGTGAACAGTTATAGCCACTTATGGGCAGCCCCATCTTCCTTCACAGCAGGGATCCTTGATTAGGGATCTACTGGAAGTAATCCAGGCGATGAATCGTGCTAACTCAGCGGAACTAATAATATTTCTACTGGAAGTCACATTACATTTCTATAAAAGGGCAGTTACTGGTAGACTTGAGATGTTTAGAAATTCTCCCACATGGAGAAGTAAGCCCAGAAGTAGCAGTAGCAAAACCTCTCTCAACAAATATTCTGGGAATAAAATGTGAAGCAATCACAATGAAAAATAAAGTATTTCCATACTTTCTGAAGCACAGACTTGCACCTTTGTAATAAGCAAATCAGCACCCAGCTTTCATTTAACACTATAGACCAATGATTCTTAAATAGGGTTGGGCTCAGAACCTCTGGTAGATTTGGTTTGTTAATTTATGTATTTTTTTAAAAGATGAGCTGCTATCTTATCTTAGGTCGCTCTGTCATGTCAAACTCTTTGCCATCCCTTGGACTGTACGGGCTCTAGGCTCATCCGTCTAACGGATTTCTCAGGCAAGAATACTGGAGTGGTTTGTCATTTCCTTCCCCAGGGGATCTTTCCGACCCAGGGACTGAACTCAAGTCTCCTGTATGGCAGGCAGATTCTTCACCACTAAGCCATCAAATAAGTACTCAGGGTGCTATGGCTGTAGACTATGTATTGTTTTTTAGATAAATGCCTTGAGATATCCTTGGAGGTACTGAATTTGTAGGGCTGGGGGTTGGAGATACATACATATACATACACACACACACACACACACACACACACACACACACACACTCTTCACAACTTGCCCCTAAGCATCTCTGCCTAAACAATACTGAGAAGACTTCCTCTGTCTCAAGCATCCTCCTCTTGCAGTGAATGTCTGGCTTAGGACTTCTGTCACTTTAAAGTGCACAGGATGAGATCAGGCGCATTCAGGGTGGTATGGCCGTAGACTCTAAGGAAGCCGTGGTACATATACACCATGGAATATTACTCAGCCATTAAAAAGAATTCATTTGAATCAGTTCTAATGAGATGGATGAAACTGGAGCCCATTATACAGAGTGAAGTAAGCCAGAAAGATAAAGACCAATACAGTATACTAATGCATATATATGGAATTTAGAAAGATGGTAATGATAACCCTATATGCAAAACAGAAAAAGACACAGATGTACAGAACAGACTTAGCGACTCTGTGGGAGAAGGCGAGGGTGGGATGTTTTGAGAGAACAGCATCAAAACATGTATATTATCAAGGGTGAAACAGATCACCAGCCCAGGCTGGATGCATGAGACAAGTGCTTGGGCCTGGTGCATTGGGAAGACCCAGAGGGATGGGATGGAGAGGGAGGTGGGAGGGGGGATCGGGATGGGGAACACATGTAAATCCATGGCTGATTCATGTCAATGTATGACAAAACCCACTACAATATTGTAAAGTAATTAGCTTCCAACTAATAAAAGTAAATGAAAAAAAAAATAAAGTACACGGGAAGCACCTGGAGGTTTTGTTAGAATAAAGATTCTGATTCAGTAAATGTGAGGTGTATCCCGAGGCTCTAAATTTCTTACAGGCTCCCAGAAACTGCTGCTGCTGGTCCATAGACCACATTTTGAGTAGCAAGGATAGCACTGTGTTTTTCCAACCACAATTCACAATGTGTTAGTGGGTAGGGAAATAGAGTTAGTGGGTCACGATCAGCATTTTTACAAACATTTTTGTAAACATGAAGCAGAAGGTACTGGGACAGAAAACACAGACTGCATTTTATTTAGCAAGTATAGTATTTGTTTTATAACACTATTTCTGTTGTACATATAATATCCAACCAGGGCTACAATGTAAATTTCATTTCTTTCTAAAGGTCATAGTCACAAAAGCTTGAAAACCATTGAATTAGCACATGCTAGATGCTTGGAAATCATGTGTTGAACTGTACTGTTCCTTTTTCCTGTTCTTTTCAAAGTATAAAAAACAGGAAGAAGTGGTGCTTAATTATTTGTATTCATTTGCTGATTATGCGGGAATGAGATTAATTTATAATAAAGTATTATTTTAACCAACATTTGCACTTTAAACCTTTTATTCTGAGTTGTAAAGTAAAAGAATTATTTCCCTCCATTCTATAAAACACTGGAGGAGGGCATGGCAACCCACTCCAGTATTCTTGCCTAGAGAATCCCATGGAGAGAGGAGACTGGCAGGCTGTGGTCCATGGGGTCACAGAGTCAGACACGACTTAAGTGACTAAACACAGCACACATTCTACAAAAGGTTAGGTTTCAGCACATGATTGAGGGAAATTTGAGGAGTAAGGGAGGTGGAACTCCTGAAAGCATATTTTATATAACTGTGTGGTTTAGCTGCTAAATTGTGTCCAACTCTTTGCGACCCCATGGACTGTAGCCCACCAGGCTCCCCATCCATGGGATTTTCCAGGCAAGAATACTGGAGTGGGTTGCCGTTTCCTCTTCCAGGGGCTCTTCCTGAGCCAGGGATCAAATCCTGGTCTCCTGTTCCCTGGTCTCCTGATTGCTGCAGGCAAACTCCTGCATTGCAGGCAGATTCTTTGCCAACTGAACCACCAGGGAAGGCCATTTTATGGCTTTTTAATATATTTTATGTATGCTACCCTTCCCTGGTGGCTCAGATGGTAAAGTGTCTGCCTACAATGCGGGAGACCTGGGTTTGATCCCTGGGTCGGGAAGATCCCCTGGAGAAGGAAATGGCAACCCACTCCAGTACATTGGCTAGAAAATCCTATGGATGGAGGAGCCTGATAGGCTACAGTCCATGGGGTCGCAAAGAGTTGGACATGGCTGAGCAACTTCACTATGCTATGCTATAGTTATAACTGATTTAATTAATTCCTATAAGAGTATTCTGGATTGGAACATTATAAGAGATGATTAAATTGCCTCTCTCCTAAATTTTCCCTGCCCTCATGGTTTCATCTGGAAATTGTTACTAAAATTCCTTTATAATGACCCTGTTCTGGCCCCACTCAGCTTCTCACAGTGGATGTGCCTGCCTATTAGTACAGTTCTCTTATGAACTCAC